ATGATGATGATGATGATGATGATGATGATGATGATGATGATGATGATGATGATGATGATGATGATGATGATGATGATGATGGCGACGAAGACCCCAGAGTCACAAAGTTCATTGTGACATTTTTGGTCGTTTTGAGTTACTAAGACCACGAGGACAGAAGCCAAAACGTTCTATCTGCTCCACCAAAATCGTAAGGTTATTCGGAGTCGTTATAAAGATATTCAAAGAATAGCATTCGAAAAAAAAATTGACATGATGTGAAACTTAAAAATGTTGACGTCAAATTCCTCAAAACTAGACACTGAGCAGATAGAACTTTTTAACTCTAGGGTAGCAAAATAACACGATCAGTGTTCTACAAGAAGGCAAGGACTACTTACTTTTTAAGTAGTCCTTGCAAGAAGGTTATAAGTTATAAATAGATTGACAGGCCTTTGGAGGCGTTTTTAAGTTACAAGTAGATTGATATTCTTAGACCTTTGGAGAAGTTTATAAGTACAAATGTAGACTGATAATACTGATATTCTTACGTCTTTTTGTGTCTTGTACTTATCAGTTTTTACGTCACCCTAACCGGAGAGCGCGCCAAGAACAACGTGATCGGCCTCCACACCGCCGTGGGCATGGGGAAGCAGACGGTGGCTTTCAACACTTGGAGGGATGGGAAGTTTCAGAGGGAGGAATGCCACAAGACGGACTTCCCGTTCCGCGCGGGAAAACTCTTTGACATGTTCCTGGTGGCCACGGACAAGGAGTTTGTGGTAACTATTTCCTTCTCCTTAAAGAGTGGTTTGCTTCATTCATTCATTCATTCATTCATTCATTCATTTACTTATTTATTTACTTATTTATTTATTTATTTATCTCTTTGTTTATTTATTTATTTATTTATGCGCCTCGCGAAATATCACTTCCGGCACTTCCGCTGTGAAGGACAGTACGCAGATTTGTTTCGTTTCTCAGTGGAATAATCACAAAGGCCAAAGAAGGACGAGAACTTTTTATCAAAAAGATTATATTTTTCTAAATTCAGGAAATGAATAAATAAAAAATCGGGCTCCGTCATGGGTACCTGTCTATCTTTTTGCAGGCACTTGCCAACTTTCAACTTTGTAGCTGTCGTAGTTTTATGGGAAAAGTGGCACGTGTGTTTCCAAGTTGCCAAATTTATTTATTTATTTATTTATTTATTTATTTATTTATTTATTTCTCTGTCATAACAATAACCCTTTGACGACT